GAGAGAGAGAGAGAGAGAGAGAGAGAGAGAGAGGTTGCTGTTTAGTTATCACAATAATTAGATGATCCTGTGCCGAAAGGATTACTTTAAATATATCAGACTCAATTATTTAGATACACTTAAGAGAAAATTGATCAAGCTGTTTTCATGGGTGAGTTGTCAAACGGACGAAGCTGGAAGCGAGAAACGTTGCTGCCAAAAATGTTGTAATTGGTTAGACGAGATATGGTGTAAAGTTGATAGATGTAAAACTTTCTCTGCGTGTCCCCCTTCTTTTATTTTCACCCGTGATTCTGTGCAACAGTGCAATAAGTGTTGGATAAGGAATTGCAAAGGTATTGTTGGGGCGCCATGACAGATCAGTTATATTTTATATGTTTTCTAAGAAATAATTATTCCGGTTCCGCATGGAAAGATTTTTCATTGGAAGGCTTTAATTTTGTGTAGTAAGGTAATCTACAATGCTTTCTGTGAAGATATTTTTGTGATACAAAAATAAACTGTTACAACTCACCCATGCAAATAGGCCGTTCCATTTTCCTTTAACAATTCGAATATGAGAAAGCAACAATGAAATTCGATTTTTGTTCATTATAATTAATTTCAGCGTTATAATTAATTGATTATGAGAAAATTTACTGACCTTAATTAATACATTGTTACTAATCGGATCTATGTAATATGACAGTAATAGATATATTTTTTGCTTTTCAGATACAGAAAATTAGCATTAAAATGGCATCCTGACAAAAATCCTGACAACTTGGACGAAGCAAATAAGAAGTTTAAGGAAATCTCCGAGGCGTACGAAGTCTTAATCGATGGTAATTTATGTGACGACTGCTAGTTCACTTTCGATGATAATTTTTGTTCGTACCTTAACCTAAAAAAAGAGTAAAAAAAGAGTAACGACTGCCATGCTTTACACACATTCGACACGCTTGGCACGAGCTTCCTTTCGGGTATTTACTTTTAGATGGTGCTTTCGTAAATTTAAACCATGCGAAATTTGATATTTTTGCATGTTTACAAAGGATGAAGACAGCTACGATACAACCGTTCAGTTGCTTAGTAAAATTCAAAAAGAAGTGCATCTGTTCCGTAAAGTGATTCTATTCAGTTGTAAGTAAGCTGGCAGAGGAACAATCATGAAACTCTACATTGAGCTGTAAATTTAATAAATTATAATAAAAGTTCTGAATGTGAGAGACTTCACTAGTGCAAAGACTCACTGCAACAATATTACTAAGTCGAGATGATCAGATTAATTTCCTTATTTCTGGTGAAGTATATGTATAGCAGAGGTAAAGATTTATTTCTCATTATTTTGTTCATGGATATTAGAATTTTGCAGTCGAAACAAGCATGTATAAGGAAAATATAATTATGGGCCAATATTTTAGCTTAGAATACTCTTCGCATCATGTATAATTATTTTCTTTGAGAATATTTTCTTACTCGATTGAGCATGAAACTGTGTGTTAAAACTATATGAGATCAACCAAAGAAAGTACTACTTTGTGCCAGTTTCGTTTGACAAATTATTAGTTGTGTCTATTTTCAAATATTTATATGGATGGATTAAAGGAGTTTCTTTTAATTGTGATAAATAAGGATGTGAGTGAGAAAATATTTTATTGCAACGTTGATAATAATAAGTGTTCCAGAATATTGCAATTACTTAAAATTAATGCGCATAATATTAGCTTGTATATTTAGTTTTTTTGAGCACTTATACGTGCGAACTTAAATTACGAAAGCACCTTCTATTGTTACCATAACGATTTTTCTTCGCAAACATGGATTCCATGTATGGTTTTTTGTCATAATACTACCAGTAAAGTGCATAGAAATACGAGTTTACAGAAACTAAGTATTACAATCATGTAGAATTTTAGGTTTCTCTCGTTTTAGGAAGAAGTAGAATTTTATTTTGTTGTAGACATTTTGAGAAACATTATATCTTCCGTGTATTATGTTGTTGGGGCTGAATTTTTTTATTATTTTGTTTTTGGGGAACTATGCTGTAACTTTATGAAGCGGAATACTTCTGAGGATCCGATGAGCTCAGTTACATTATATATTATTCCAAAGAGACGCTTAACGGAACCTTTAAAAAATGTCTGGTTTCTGGTTTGTTGTGAGATTTCTCTGTCGATGCAGATACTAAGAGAAGAACCTACGACCAGCGATTGTATCAGAAGGCGTCTTCAAGGCCAGGACGTGGATTCACCTTCCGGAGTTTCTTTGATTCTCCCTTCCAACGATATTTTGGTACCAAAAATTAACACACAAAAAAAGCACCTATTCAGAGTGTTCGCCAGTTTGCAGTCATGTGAAAAGAGTTTTCTTTGAGGACGTTACCACTAGGAAGGACTAACCTATAATTGGCGAGATTCGACCGAGTCTCTTGATTGATGTGTCCCGAGTCCACGACATTGTTGTAATTTAAGAAATTTCAATTTGACATCTGTAAATTGCCAGACGCTGCTACTACAATCATTCAAAGAGATTGTGTAGTCTCAATGACGGATGGTCTCAATCGGTTTCTACAGTTTAAATTGAAAACCCTTCGGTTTATGCTCAGCCGTGGCCCTTTCTTTATGTTATTTTGCCCGATGGAATGCTGCTTTTACCTAGTTTTATTATATTTTCATAATTTATTCTCGTTGCTCTAATAATTTCAAGTTTTTAACTTTGCTCCCCGCAAGACGAAATGAATGGTCAAATATTAATCTTTAAACTGCTGGAAGTCTGTATACAGTCTGTTGAACAAGAAACGAATTGGCTATTTATACCGAAAAATGAAAGATATTCGTCTGAACTTTTTTCGGCGCACTTTTCAATCAATAGGCGACGACGTCACCACAAATTCGTTTCAGTATCGTTCGAAACGTCGAGAAGCGCGGACGTTTGCCGAGATGAGCGTCGCGTACGCGAAGCGATTTGAAGCGGTTTTCCTTTGCACACACTCAAAAGGATCAACATTATACCGCCGCCAAGTACATTAAAAAGTCTAAAAAGTTTTTTCAAAAGTGGGCGACGCAATACGAATTATGGAAAAACGTTGAAGAGCAGCCCAATCGAGGGAAAACGCGAGCGACCACGAGCAAGCAGGACAAAGCAATCGTTCAGCTCTTCGAGCGTAACCTTACGCTTCGACTGCCCGAAGCCAAGGCCAAACTAGCTAGGAAGGGACTGGACGTCAGCATCGACACTATTAGGCAGCGCTTACAGGAGGCGAATATTTCATACCAATCTACGAGCTCGAAACCATTTCTGTCGGAAGCCCACAAAGAAAAACGCAAGAGGTGGCCATTGGAAACAATGATCGCGATTGGTCGAAAATAATTTTTTTCAGATGAAGCGATTTTCTAGGCATGGGTTCGAGCGAAGTGTGCTTGGTCCATCTGTGGTGATCCTTTGATCCAGCGCACTGTTAAACATCCAATAAAATTGAAAGTCTGGGGATGCTTCTCGAAGCGTGGATTTGGCTGCTTGGAGCTCTTATGAGAATTTAAATGCAGAACAAATGATCAAAATTTACACGCAAGGTTTCATTAAATCAGCAAACAAGATGTTTTGGCCGAATTTCGATGATTGGGTTTACAAGAGGACAATTGGTATGTTCAGCAGAAACACGCTGAGGGAGCAAATACATTTGAGTTGTCAAATCTCACAACTGTTTCAAGATTAACGATCAAATGACCAATCAAATGTACTTGCTCCCTCAGTGGTGTTTCTGCTGAACATACCCAATGATCCGAAACACCGTAGCAAACGCTGCAAAGCCTCGAAGGAGGAAAATGGCATCATTACGAATGATTGGCGCTCTCAATCTTCTGACATCAACCCAATCGAAAATATGTGGGATATTATGAAGGCTAAACTTGATGGAAAGCAGCCTGTATTTACATTGGGGCAGCTCTCGTGAATCATTCGTAAAATGTGGCGTTCTCTTTCCTCCTCTTACGCGGAAAAACTCGTTGAAAATATACGCAGACGTTGCCAGGTTGTTATTGACAGTACCGGTGATTTCACTGTTTACTAATTCAAATGCGCCTTACCATTTTTAATGTACTTTCAAACAAAAAAAAGTCGGAATTAAATATCTCTTATAGTTTTTGAAAAATCGCGATTCCTTTCTTATTGAACAGATTGTATATACATATACATACACGCTTCAATATTTTCTTCATACTGCGAGCAATAGTGTAACGGTCGAAGTGCTGTCAGGGATCTTTAGGGCTGCTGAATACGAATATGACGTAAATAAATTTTAAATTCTTAGTACCTGATCCAAGAAGGCGGATTTTCACATTAAAACTTTTGAAAAAATAGTACCAGAGGGCTTTTGGTCATTGAAAACGAATTGAATGAAAAATTTTCAAAATTACATGACAGATTAAATTTTTTAAATTTTGAATCATGACATTTAATTTTTATTTGTTAACAGCGACCTCAAATCACCGATAACACCGGAAAAAGTTTTAAAATGTCGAAAAAGTCCTTAGAAGCCTATATAACGATCTCGAAAGTGGTATTCGAACTTTATGCATTCTCAATCCCTAATGACACATTAAATACGTATTTCGAAAAGTATCGATATCGTTTAAAAAACAAATTGCGGCAGTGTAAAGGTTGATAACCCTAAAATAACCTAATTGTCCTACTGCTTAATTCTCACAACTGAATCAGTCATTCGCTCCGGAAATCAACCACCGTCTGATAATATCAGGACTAACACGAGGAGTCTGCTTTTTTTAATTTGGAAACAAATTTTGCATATGATATCTTAAACAAAAGTATCAACGCATTTAATATTGACCGAGACTTTTTGATTTCTTTTTCAGAAAAAAAGAGACGAGTTTACGATCAACATGGCAAAGAAGGTCTTCACATGCCCGGTAGCAAGCGTCGCCACGAGGATGATTTCCATGCTCAGTTCGGTGGATCCTTTGTCTTCAGGGATCCTGAGGAAGTTTTCAGGGAGTTTTTTGGCGGAACGCATTTCGAAGATCTCTTTGGTGGTTAGTGAGAAATTAATTGTAAAGGTTTTTGTTTGATCATTTTATGTGCACCGCACATGTATCATATAATTATTGGGGTTAAGAAAATCATATCTCGATCAAGTGGCAGACTTTTCAATCTTGAACTCGCTGTATAGAATGATGTAACATTGTATTTTCATAAGTTTTAAGTTTTCAATGTTACCTTACTTGATATTAAAGTTATAACGATTTTATTCTTTTAGGTTTTCCTGGAAGTGGTAGTCGTTATGGCGTGAACAGACACAGCCATCCAAGTAACACTCTGAGTACGCCATTCTTCAGTCCACTTGGTATAGGTTTCGGTTTGGAGGACCTGCTTGGTCGTAGCATAGGTAACTTCACTTCGTTCAACACTTTCAGCAGCAATTTCTCAGCTCCTAGTGGGGGAGCACCGGTTACAAGAACAAGAACATCTACGAGATTCATCAACGGCAAGAAAATTACTACTAAAAAGTAGGTTTATAGTATATTCATTACAGTTTAAGATCGACTGCAACATTAGTTATTATTATTTTACTTACAGAGTCTACGAAAACGGCAAGGAGACCATTATGTCCTACGAGAATGACGTGTTGCAGTCCATGACAGTGAACGGTGTGCCCCAGTCGATAACGTACGCGTAAAACACTTCTTCAATAATATAACCTACATCAGGATTTCCATTCGACTTTCCTTGAGCGACTTCTGTATTTCATCAGATTTTCTGAGGCCTCCACCAGCCGCCAGGACAAGGTTGACAGCACTGGTACCCATGCGAGTCATGGTAATCATGGTAGCTATGGTACTCACACTACGCACGGAACCCATGGTAGCCATGGAGGCCATGGTAATCACACTAGCCATCTTGGACATAGCAACCATACTAGCCATACCAATCATCCCAGCCACGCGAGCCACACCACTCATGGTTCAAAACCATTCAACCATAGCGACTACTTAACCAGGATACGTGCACATCCTACATCACACGTAGCCACGAAACACGAGAAGAGTAAGCGGAAGTAAGCTTAGTGCTTGCTGCCGTTTTTTTTCTTTTTTCTTTTTGAATTGAAACAAAATCTTATCGATCGTGAAGAATCACCTGCGACGGACCAATTAACGAAAATTCTACAAAGATTCTAGACCCCGCACGCTCATTTCATCTATTGAAACGTATTACGGTAATTTTCTAATCTTTCTCTAAAGTCACTAATTGGGTGAAGTCTTTATTTTCGAGATGACACTGGGCGAAATTACATTTTTTTTAAATACTTTTTAGTTTCGTTTGACAAAAAATAACAGACGTGGTCCGTTTCTTCGAACAAAAAAAAGCTTATCGAAGCCTTTAAACTGTGTTTGTAAAAAGTTCCGAGCAATCTGCGATTATCGCGTCACGTTTAATTTGATCGATCAATTGACGGGCATTTCTTTTTATTCTAATAATTCATGGTGTACACGTTAGAGCTCTTGGATACTCTTGTACCTTGGGTAGTACTGAAAATGTACATGACTTAACAGGGATTATAGGGATGAATGAATCGCTGCGGTTATGTTCCTTTATTCGTCACAGACGCCAGTCGAGTATCTTGTGCGTTAATGAAGTAACTTGACATGAAAAAAAGCCAACGAAAGTGTGTTTGAAAAAATTTGTAACATAATTCGTAGCCATATTTTTTTCAATTTGAAAATAAAACGAACTTCTTTAGAAGGTTTTGAGATTTTTCAAGATGGCAAATTTCTGAGTTACCGGGAATGTAGGTGGGTGGGGGAGAGAAAGAGGAACATAAAGGAAAATTAAAAATATACAGGGACGCCAAATTGCGACTCTTGGAATACGCATACGTTGCATGCTCGCACCATACACTTAGAATATTAAGTGCATACATTCTAACAACCATCCTAATTATAGTAATATTGCGATAAGCGACCACTTAAATTATTATTAATTAATTTCGTTAAGGATGCATATCTCGCCATTATGTGCGTACGATTCGACCGAGCCAATGGTCATTGCTCGTACCTTAACGTTTTATCCCTCTACTGTATGTTCTCCTTAAGAAATTAATTCATTACGTATGTGTATATAATGATAAGGATGAAAACTGTTAAGCTAAAAACAAATACATTATTACTATTCACTAAATTATTTCGTTTATTCGAAATCTTTACCTTTGTCTAGTCAGTCCACTACGTCAAATTCCAGTTTTTGAAATGTACGAAAGATTAAGAAAACAAAATGGACAAAGCTCTAGATGGTAACTTCAGAAATTATTATTGTTAACAAATTTGAAATATCAAGCCGTACGTATCGTTAGTAACCTGTGAATATCAATTGGTGTGAATATAAAATTCATAGTCAATTTTAGTTTAGACTTGTGATATAAAAATTGTTATTCTTATGTATCTGCTCATAATATTTACAAGAGTGCTGACCTATAGTTTCAGTTGTTCGCAACTGAACTATACAGACAAACTGATATTTTATTGGTAAAATAAGATCCTGAGTTCGAGATATGTACTTATCTTCATTTTCATCGATACTTTGAATATGAATTGCACTATGATTTTTGAAGAGTATCTAGGATTCTTGCACTGATTAAATTTGGTATTGTCGCTTACGATTTTACATTCATAATTATCCGGGGAAAGTTCAAGATAAGATTTTTCGTACACTTTATCAAATTCCTAGATAAAACATTCGTATAAGGATCATACATACCAGTGATAGGAGGAATATGTGCATGTGGAGAAGATAAACAATTCTCAGAAGGTAAAGCATCCATATTGATGATGCCCATATGAGGTGCACGATACAAATAATATTATTGAGTATGTGTAAGAAAGTCTCAGGTTGGATCCTCAGACAGACTCCAGCGCTCGGACGTACGATTTTGGTTGGTGAAAAATGATCATTTTTCTCCCATAACCTGGTATATTCAACAATCAATGTACTGAGTCCGAGCGCTGGCGCCAGTATGAGGATCTAGCCTTGGTAATTACAAGATTATTCTTAAGATACAATAATGAACTCGTATGATGCACAATTAACTATTTTGAATTTGTATTTGCTCCCGAAAATTGATACAAAGGTAGATTAAAGAAAATACAGCGGTATAGTGGCTTGTTTAATAAAATACATATTTCATATAAGATATACGTTATGAATGAATCACAAAAAGAAGGCCAGTGCCTATGGAAGTTATATTTTTCATTTTTTTTAAAACCGTTTTGGATACGTCGGTTGTCATTTTGTGCTTAAATTTTTTGAACAAGCAGAAATATTGCATTGCATAAATGCATCCTGGAGTGTAAATATAATTCTACTTTTTGCCGATTGATGCAACCAATGTCGCCACTTTTGTAATGTATTGTTCTTTAGCTGCATCCTGACTCAGTCCTTTCTTACCTTCCCAGGCGTCCCATTTGGCCTTGCCTTTAAAATCCAACATGCCAGGTCGTGCTAAAAGAGATAAATCAATTATTTTTTTGAAGTGGCCAAAAATATATCTACATTTTAAGATTCGCTCAAAATCTTAGTGTAACCTTTAGGAAGTTCTCCCAGGGTAATTCTACGAATTGTCAGTTTCAAACATCAGAATTATCATTGATCGAATGCCTCACAAGGAACGATTTCCATCAATGAGAAAGAAGATTTTTTAAATTTTCCGACTGACGCGACTGACCTAGGAAAGCACCTTCATACTAAATTGTCAACTTTAAATAGTCAAAGCATGAAAGATAATTCTTTGATTATATTTTTAACCTCGATTTCTGTATTTCATAAAAGTAGATGGCTATTGTAATAAAACCAATAGCCTTTAACGGAGATTATCTTTAATTTCGTATGAATCTGTGAGAATAGTTATGTATACAGGGTTTTTCTCCCATGGAAATCAAATGAGCAGGCTAATTTTAACTGTGGCGTTTAGCCCGAATAACCCTGTATAATTGTAAAAAATGGTAACAAACAACACTGAATAAAAAGACTGTCATTGAATTGAGGTTATCAATAATGATATAAACGAAAAATGAATAAGGATAAAAAGCGCATAATCATATGAATTTTAAGAATCTACAATGTATATGGAGATTTGAGCTAAAGGTTGAATGTGGAGAAAACAATTAAATTCGGAATCAACGTCAAGACTTACATAAAATGCGAACTTCCTATAGCGATTCAATGTGAATAAATTCTAACTGAGAAATTACACATGTAATCCATTGCCTGTCAACATCAAATTGGAGAATATCAATTGTTGAAAGTTTAGTATTACACGTGACCAGATGGCTACATATACAATACCGATTCAAGATAACATTGTAAATATTAGAATATGTTCCGTAAATTTATTGCGAGTAGAGTATCGTTTTGTATTGTTCATCCGCACGCAATAGAGTGAGACTCGACCATACTCGCAGTACTAGCAGCTCATTTCCTAACGTACTACTATGAACTCCCCATTCTACTAGTTGGACGATTTCAAATTTTAAATAACTGACAAAATACTTTACCGTTCAGACTTAAACAAGTCTGCGTATTCTTGTATAAAATGAAGTGACGCGATTTGTTAAAATGATGGATATGCATGTATATGATTGATTTAATGTAAAAGAACAATTAAGATTTATACTTCGTGCGAATAATCAGATTTCTAAGATGTATGCAACTTTATGTAGGTTATGTTGTTATAGACAAAGTGTATTGTCTGATTGTACAGACACTTACTTGTATTATTGTCGCCCACAGTGGCTTGTTTGAAAAGTGCATAAACTTCGAGAAGGTCTGCATCGGATGGCTGCGTCACCAATTGCTTAACCTCCTCAGCGGCTTGATTAAATTTCTGAAATTATCATTCCAAAATTCTAGCCGCAAGTATATCCATCGATTTTCGTACATTCATTTAATATTGCATATCTGTAAATATTATTATGCAATTACCTAGTAATTGTATGCGGTAAAAAGTAAACTATTGCTTGTAGCTACCTCCAAGCACACAAAACATTTTATGTATAATAATATATTTAATAGATGTAAATTATATGCAAGCTATTAATTCCTAATCAAATGTTTAACAGGTTACATTTATTTGTATTATGTAAATTCGATATTATCTTCTCATTACAAAGATTAATCTATCGCGTTACATATTTGAATAGGAATTAATAGCTCGCATGTAACTTATATCTGATAAATATGTTATGTAAAATTGTGTGTTTGCCAGTGTTTTCTGGGTCACATTTCTGGATAGGACAAATGTATCTTTTTTTTAACATCTTAGTACCGAATGTGTCCATCAAATTGACCCATTTGTTGGCCCTACTCGTTACCTATAAGTTAAGGCAATGGCCACAAATGGGACAAAGCTATTTTAATCAGCGGAATATAATTTTTTAACAATTTAGGTAGTATGGTAGAATTATGCTCGAAAGTTGACCCTATATTTTTTAATGCCTTAATAGAAAGAGCTTAATCAGTTGCGTATGCTGGCTCAAAACAAAATTTGTTTACCGTTTAGTTAAAGATATATTAATTATTAAAGTTGGGCAAAAATTGTTGTATTTAGTCAAATGTCCTTAGCTTTCGCAAAAAGTAACGAGTTAACCTATGCATTAGAATAGGTATATTTCCAGATAGCTTGATATCTGAGGCGTTTACTAGAAAAAATGAACATCATTTACCGTATACTTATTGAGAAATTGCTGTTAAACAAAACGCATGCGGCGGCTGTCTCTGTCTTTCGCGTGTTCTTATCTCCACCCGTAAGCGCTAGAGAAAAAATTATGGTGCAGATTTCGGCGTTCAGTAAGCATTAAGTATGATTTATTAATGGAAATCGAAATAATTATTATTTTAATAAAAATTATATTTTTAAGGTATTTTTCTATTTGTTTGAAACTTAACAAATTATATATGTCTATTGATTTGACTTCAGCCAAACTCTACCATATTACCTTAAGTAATAAAGTTTCGTTAAAAATGTCTGTTTTCGTAATTAATTGAAAACTTGAATAGACTGATAGTAGCAAAAATTAATGAAAGCTATGTCAAATGTGGCCAAAAATGGTACAGTTACCACATACCGGTACATTTACCTAACGTTCTGAAATTTACGGTCAATACTCCATGCATTGTTGTGTCTCACTTCATTATGTTATGCAGATAAACAAGAACACAATGATCGTTGTAGAATGTTTTCAAATTTCGGAATTATACCTATGTCATGAGAATATGGAATTTTTGAAACTTATAAATATATGTATAAAGCTATATATTTTCAAAAGAAAAAATATTCTTTTAATTTAGTTACGTTATAAATTGATCTACAGGAATGTAAACAAAGTATTTATTAATTATCGAATAACGACAAAAGGTTAACCGTGACAGGAATTATTAGAACAAGCACTAACACGCTTTTTTATTAACCTAACCTCAAATAATTTTATCGACTTAATAACAAAAATACATTTCAATATCAATGCATGATTATTAGTTCTGGGCCAAAGGAATGTAAATTATAATTTAAAAAAACATGTATTTCGTAACATAAAAAGTATTTACGTCATTATACTAAAGGCAATGAGAATTGAAAAAAAAAATCCAATAGATAAATTGTTACATAACAAGTTATTTAACCTGTTTCCCATAATCAGTGTTAGAGGTCAATAACAATGATAGTAATTGTTTATTACAGCAGTAGCCAAAAATGATTTTATAATATAAAAATCTCAAAATTGTTGTACATACAATAAACTATAATGAAAGCTAAATAATCATATCCTATAGAATAAACTTTCTATTAATTTTACAACAATAATATTGCAATGCCACATATTGAAGGTAGTTTCAAGTATATTGGTGAATTGAAAATACAAAGAAAATGAAGTAATCGATTAATTATCGTACTCACCTCGTCCAGCGACATATTGCCGTCGGATTATTTAGTAATTCAAATTCTTTAAATACCAAAAGACTGCTCTTTTGATGGAAGATACACAATTCTACAGAGAGATTAAGCAGCGTCCATCGTCACTAAGCAGTAGTCAGAACTGGTCAGAAATAACGATATAACATGAGCCCCGAATGGAATTCCCTAGGAGACTTTGAACTTGAAGGTGACATGCAAGATAACAGAACAGGTTGGACAATTCTGCAATGCTGCCATCTGTTGAATACTTATAACACTAAACAACATTATCTAACTGAAATACAATCTTTATGCATACGAATTGCAAATGTAGAACTTTTTCAGTGGATGCAGTAATTTTTAAAATTATTTAATATTGTCTTCACTTACTGTCACGTAAATATGACTACAGGAATAATATGTCACAAAACGACGTTCCTTTTAATCTGTATATTTGAAATTAAGAGACTCTGTCGAATCTGGCGCCTTGTGCAGGCAACCGATGGTACATGCGTTGACTGAAGAAGTAAATAGATGGGGCATTTTATAGGATATGGTGACGCGCTAGCCTGGGTGTCATGAACTCCGTTTACACGACGTTCTTAAACCGGTTTAGTTAATAGACAAATAATAAACATGTCTATTTGTAAGGAATATTTGGGATTAGTCAAAACCTTTAAATCAGTATTTAATTAAACCGGTATAAGACTGTCGTGTGAACGTGGTCATGGACACCTAAGATGGACTTGATCCTGTAATGTAAGGTTAGCTTGGCGCCACCTATACATATACAGGGTGTTCGTTATGAAACGCACTGTAGTAACATCGTTGCATTCCTTGTCAAATTCTAATGAATACTTATATTTTCATTTTTTATTTCATATATCAAAATTTCGAGATAATCAAGGTTGAAGTTGCAGTAATGCGACCAATCAGAGCGCGGTTAAACGGAGCGTAGATGACGTTGCGAGTCAGCCCGCAAGACCTGCTTACACTCGGCCAATAACACTAACAAGGAAACCCCCCCAACCCGACCCCACCGATTTCAATAATTTTTTGATATGTTGTAGTACTCGACAAAATAAGAGACACGTATTTTTTTGTGTGTGCTGACATCCACTTTAAAGGGGTGAAAACGACCCCTGAAATTCACCCCCGAAAATCGTTTTTTCATCATATCTCGACTTCTAATTAATATTTTTTAATAAAACCAAGTGGAAAATATTTGTCATAAGAAGTCGAAGATATGAGGTGTGTTTATGACCCAAGGGGTTGCAGCCCTTATTTTATATTTTGAAAAAACTATATTTTTTCTGCTTTTTTTCTGCATAAAAACCGGGGTATGGGCTCAAAATAATAAAGAAAAGCGTTTCCGTTAACTCCATCAAATATTTCAGTTGGGGTGTTTCAGGATTTTTCAAAGGGATAAAAACCACGCCTAAATTTTACCCCCGAAAATTGTTTTTTATCATATGTCAGATTCTATTTGATATTTTTTAATAAAACCAAGTGGAAAATATTTGTCATAAGAAGTCGAAGATGTGAGGTGTGTTTATGACCCAAGGGGTTGCAACCCTTATTTTATATTTTGAAAAAACTATATTTTTTATGCTTTTTTTCTTTATATAAACCAGGGTATGTACTCAATATTTATTAATATTTTTTAATGGAACTATGATTAAAAATTATTTTTATAAGATTTATTTCTTTTTCTTCTCCTTTTATAATCAATTGTAAGTTACAGTATTTTATTAGGCTGATATGTTTGTTGCTGATGTGAAATCTTCTATATCATCAATTGGAATTGAAAATTTATATAATTCAGATCAGAGTGGGTTCCAATTAGAAATGCATTCTGGAAGAACATTAGCAGTTGAAGGAGGTGCAAGTGCAATGAAGTCTTTATGTTTTAAGCACTTTTTTGAAGATAATCATTATTGTCAACACTTTGAAGAATAAAATACTGTGACTTACAATTAATTATAAAAAGAGAAGAAAAAGAAATAAATCTTATAAAAATAATTTTTAATCATAGTTTGATTAAAAAATATTAATAAATATTGAGTACATACCCTGGTTTATATAAAGAAAAAAAGCATAAAAAATATAGTTTTTTCAAAATATAAAATAAGGGTTGCAACCCCTTGGGTCATTAACAAACCTCATATCTTCGACTTCTTATGACAAATATTTTCCACTTGGTTTTATTAAAAAATATCAATTAGAATCTGACATATGATAAAAAACAATTTTCGGGGGTAAAATTTAGGGGTGGTTTTTATCCCTTTGAAAAATCCTGAAACACCCCAACTGAAATATTTGATGGAGTTAACGGAAACGCTTTTCTTTATTTTTTTGAGCGCATACCCCGGTTTTTATGCAGAAAAAGAGCATAAAAAATATAGTTTTTTCAAAATATAAAATAAGGGTTGCAACCCCTTGGGTCATTAACAAACCTCATATCTTCGACTTCTTATGACAAATATTTTCCACTTGGTTTTATTAAAAAATATTAATTAGAAGTCGAGATATGATGAAAAAACGATTTTCGGGGGTGAATTTCAGGGGTCGTTTTCACCCCTTTAAAGTGGATGTCAGCACACAAAAAAAAATACGTGTCTCTTATTTTGTCGAGTACTACAACATATCAAAAAATTATTGAAATCGGTGGGGTCGGGTTGGGGGGGTTTCCTTGTAAGATATATGTATGCGTCTTATGAAATTATAGTAATTAAAACAAAACAGTGGTCACGCGCTATGGTCTAACAGTGGCGCTAACAGTGGTCACGACCCGAAAAGCTATGGTACAAGGAAGAGGTTACAAAAGACGAACGGAAGGTCAAGAAATAGAGGGTAAAGCCCACCTAGTTATCAAGGCGTAACAGTTAATCATAGGTCAATTAATAGTACTTTGCGATACGAGTGCGAGATAGCGAACTTCATAGGCAGGCCGTGAAGTTGGTCGCACACCGTACACGAGAAACACAACGGCACGAACCGAAGGCGAGTGCTGCTTGTTTTACGAGTGCGGCGAGTATGACAAACTTCACCGCCTGCCAATAAAGTTCGCTTTCTCGCATTCGTATCGCAAAGTACTATTATGTAACTCATGCATGAAAAACACTACTTTTCGTGCCTCCAAAGTGACTGGAGCATCTCTTCATTGGAGGAGGCAGCCATAAGAAGAGCAAGGAAGACTTCCAAAGTGAATGCATTTCAGGACAGCGCGCGAGAACAAAGTTTACTCGTATCGCAAAGTACTATTCTGTAACGAATGCATAAAAAGTGCTACTTTTTGTGCCTACGTCTTCACGAAATCATCTAACAATAGGAAGATCAGTTTGATCCAGAATCACTTTCGGGTTAGCAGTCATGAGTCCAGTCCAGTCAAATTGTTCTCTAAAAATTCAACTCAAGAAAAGATCTAAGCTCAGTCTTTTGTCGCCGATTCCACATTCGAATTCAACAGTTAAACATCATATTGACCATCTATTTTAACCGTTTGAGTGCCAAGGAGCGATTTTGCCCCTCTTCTCTGTTGCTCGAACTTTACTGTTACCACTACATTGGTGCGTTCCACTTAACGCTCGCAATGCTCGCGCCCACGACCGTAAGATTTCGTGTTCCACTAGCTTGTGGACTGTTGTGGACGTCGTGGTCGAAAACTTAAGTGGAACGACTTATCGGACTTGTGAACGATACAAAGATGACTGGTATTGTAGAGAATATGTGTATAAGGCTAATGCGTGAACGGAATTATGTTTCTGAGAGTTCATCAAGCTCAGATGACGAGTGGGAAGCCGCTCTGCAGCAACGAGGAAAACGAAAACTTCGTCCACGAATTAAAGGTTACGGTGATGTTGTCCACAGTTACATGGACCACGAGTTAAAAAGTCATTTTAGGTTAGTGAGCATTAATGATAGTAAATCTTGCTTTATCCAAATTTGAATGATAATGTCACTGTTTTTGCGTTGAATGCATTTTATTTTCAATCGCGTTTTACACTTTTGAAATAAAAAAATTGATGTATTTACACTTTTCCTCTATTTGCAGAATGTCAAAGGCTACATTTGAATACCTTCTCAGCATCATTGGAAAAGATAACCAGGAAAATAAAAGGCTGTCCAACTATTGCTTCTCACCAGCAGTTAATGATAGTCCTCTGGAAAATGGCTACTATGGACTCGTACAGGTACTTGACAGGTTTATGAAATAACAATGTAAATTAATTATCAGTGCTCTTATTTTCATTTTATGTCTACATTGAAATACAAGTTATATTTTTCAACGAATCTCTTGCAGATCTGTTTGTGATTGGTTAATGTTGGAAGAGCTACTGGTCTTCAATCTGTGCGAAGAGTCACAAATACTCTGTTTAGACAGTCTGCAAGATTCATTGAGTGGCCCACTGGTCATAGAGCTGTGCAAGTGATGCAAGGATTTGAAGAAGGTAGTGGGTTTCCAAAAACTTTTGGAGCCATTGATGGTACACATATTCGTATTGATGCTCCAAAGGAAAACTCTGCAGATTATGTTCATCGCAAAGGATTTTATTCCATTTAATTGCAGGTAACCATCATCTAAATATGTTAATCACAAATACAGTATGTTGTAAATATTTACATGTATATGTCTGCATTTATTTGCAGTTGGTGTGCGACCACAAAACTTTAATTACGCATTGCTACACTGGACATCCTGGCTCGGTCCATGACCAAAGTGTTTTCCGACTATCTGAAGTGTCAAACTACCTATCCGATGATGAAAAGTTTCCTGCAGATAGCCATATTTTGGGTGATGCCGCTTATGAACTGAATCAACATTTACTCACTCCTTTTCGAGATAATGGCCACTTAAATGAGAGACAGAAGAATTACAACTACCGCCATTCAGCAGCCAGGGTGACAGTAGAAAGGTGCATCGGTTTATTAAAGGGCCGTATAAGAAGCTTGTTGCATTGCTTACCAATGACAAGAGTCGATTTGATGGCAAAGTATGTCGTAGCATGTTATGTGATTCACAACAATTCTACATTACGAAGGGATGAAATAAATGTTATAACAATATCTCCATGCGTGCAGGAAAATGTTAGAGATGACAATGTTTTATATAAAGGAATACAGAATACTGGGGTACATAAAAGGAATTTGATCATGAATACTTTGCAGCAGTAAATGAGTAATCTCGAGTGGTCTCGGGCCAGTACGGATAGTTTGTACTTGACGTGAGAACTCGCTCAAGTCTCTTGATACTAGGGTAATGAAGCCTAGTTTGTATAATCAAATTTATGTACATTGTTGTTGTATTGAGTTTGAATACCATAACACACTAATAAAAATATTTTATTATTAATTCAATTTTTTTTTCACCAATAAGCTTAATTTTTTTAAATGTTTGTTAGAATTCCATACTACAAAAGGTATAAACTGAAGCTCAAATGCATCAATCTGTCTAGCTTCCGTCCGCTGCACTACTGTGATTTCGAATCACTGCTTATACATGAATAACATTCAGTTCGTCAACTAATTTGGACCCATTTATACAGGAATCATTAATCATGAAAAAAAAACTAAAACTCGATTTTTAGAAAGTTCTGTATTCATATACAAAAGGAAAGAACTAAAAAATATTGTTTAAGAATTAAAATAAAATTAAACTGACTACACCCTAATAGTTGAGATTATCCTCTGATAATATTAATCTCTATTAATAATACCTAGGTAATTAATATCTGTAGAAATAAACTAAACATTTGAAAATAAAACAGTGATTAACGATTAAAGGAACGAAATATATCTATCTGTCCCTCTCGGAATCGTACAGCGTTAGTTTTTCAGTCTCCATCATAAATTTGAATTGAAAATGGCGCACAAAAACATCAAACGACCACAAAGACCCACCTATTTGATGTGGGCGAAGCGATCGCATCGCGGTCGCCAATGATGACATCATCGATGACGTTTCAGGGACTGCTCACAGCGACCGCGGCCTTAAGTGAAACGAGACAGAGGGTGTTCCGATCGTTGCGAGCGTTAAGTGGAATGCACCCTATGTATATTTTTCTCGAAGCGTGCCATGGATGTTCGAGAAGGAAGCGTGCACGTGCGAGAAGGTGCACAGTTAAGGCTTTCACACACAAAACGACGTAACGACGTAAGACGTAACCGTAAGCCGTAATCAGTAAGCACCATCGCACACCACACGCGTAAGGAGTAAGCTACGGCCAATCACACTTAAGAAAGAATTGCGCATTTTTATCAAAGTGTCGTCATTGTACATACTATAATTTTATTTTTGTACCTATTTTCATGATTATAAAGGTGTGGATAACCTCTTACATGATGGATGAGCAATTCGTCCGCTGATCTGATTTCGTTTTCTATAATGATATCCAGTTTTTCGTTATTCGTATTACAATACATTGTTGAACAATATTGCTTATGATCACTTATTGCTGCTTTTATTCAATATCAAAGCACATCAAAGCCACTCGTCTCATGCATAAACAATGCTCTTTTAAGGGAGAACGCGAGAAGGTTTGTGATTGGTTGTCCGTAAGAAGTAAGCCGTAACGATTTCATCCTTACGATATTTTTCGCCACTACGGCTTACGTCTTACGGAGAAAAGTGGAGGGAACAGTACTAGATTCTGATTGGATGGTTTCCTTACGCTTACGTCTTACGTCGTTACGTTATTTTGTGTGTGATGGGCTTTAGCCTATTTTATTTTATAACTGGATATACCTATCCGTGTGTTCTGTGCTTCACGATTCTCATATATAGGAGATATATCTATACGTATATCATTTCAATGGATTATAATATACTTCTAGCTGTTATCGACCGATGTAAATGGCGTCAGGAGTATTAGTTTTGCTGCAAGGAGCAAGAATTCGAATTCGCCTTTGGAACGCCCGAGCGTTCCCTCGCGAGTGATCAATTATTAGGTGGAGATTCTCGATAAGGAAAGGAAAACGATTAGAAAGGAGACAGGAAGACTTGATAAGGAAAAGATAAGGAAAAAGGAAGACTTGATACTTGAACGAAAAGCGAAAATCCCTGTAGGATTATGATATAAGACGGACTTCCGTATATTGTTACAGGATACGTCTTTTCTCTACAATTGTTAGGTTCGGAGTATTCTTACAATTTTTGCCTTAAGTTATAATTCGCAACCCGATGTGGGTGGTGCCGTTCAAATGGCCAGTCGCGAAGATAGGTCTTTCTGCGGGACCTGTGTTGGCCAGTCAGGAGGGTTCTTATGGCTTACGTGAGCTTCCCAAATCCCAGGAGGAAGGTTCGTGTAGTAGGTGGGCCCAATAATAAGGGCCAGCCCGACCATGTGACCCTCAGCGTGCAGGACGACTCGCTGGTGCTGATTTTCCGCCATGTGCGAAGAATGTTTTAGGGTTTTTGATTGTCGATCCCTTTGGTGAAGTGGACATTCTTGGATGGGTGCTTTACTGCAATCACTTCCAGATGTGTGTGGACGCAGCTTTCTCCATACGAATTTCTGCTGCAGGGTCGTCATCTCGCTTTCTATGGCATGCGATGTATCTGCAAAGTCTCAGTCTTTGGCGTTTTCCCGCTTTTATTTCTTTATTCTCGGGTGACCATTTCATTCACAGAATCGGCATTATTTATCTATTTGAATCTGGTTTAAATTCGCGCTTATTATTAGTACTATGTCTATACAGGGTGTTCGTTATGAAACGCACTGTAGTAATATCGTTGCATTCCTTGTCAAATTCTAATGAATTATATATATATATTGTAACGTAATTTTCTTTAACTTGACCCGACACCGATAGCCAGACATACGGGAACGACTATCTTCGAGAACCAACCTACGTTACCTTC